AGCCAAAATATCCTACTTAACTGTTTCTCAAGCTCAGCAGTCCATCTCCCGCCCTTTGAATAATCTGTTCTCCATGCCTGAAATTAGCTACTTCCTCAACCCCAGATCACAGAATCCCTGGACTTCCTCATCATTCTGCTCTTATGCCCCCTCTTAAGGGAAGCCATTCCCAACTCCTTTAGTTGGTAATGCTCTCTCCCTTCTCAAATTACTACGCACATGTTTATTGTTATTCCTCCCAATAGACTGTAACCTTTTTGATGACGGAGACTGACTTTCATTTTTGTATTTGTATCCTCAGTGCTTAGCACAGTGCCTTGCATGTAGTAAGTGCTTAATGAATGTGTATTGAATTGGATTCATTGTGTTTTGTTAGGAACTTCTTGAAACGATTTCCAGCTTTATTTTAATTTTGGTAAATTACGACCAACTAACATTTATAATAGCCCTTAAATGGTTTCAAAACATTTCATAGGCATTATGTCCAGGAATGTGCTAGAAGGCTCCCTGAGAGCCAATCGTTAAATTTTCACAAATTTGCTAACACTACAAATCAGGAATTGATTTAATGTTTTCTTAATTGTCTAGACTTTTAAAAGTGATAGAGAACATGTTAATGATGGGTATTAAACTTAAAGGTATGTCTTGCTTTGTCAGAGAAGCACCTCTTAAACATTTACAGGCATACCAGGGGGAAGGGAATAAACATTTATATAGTACCTATTATGTGCCAGGCACTGTGCTAAGTGGGGAAATGGAGGCAAACAGAGGTAAAGTGGCTTGCCCAGCATCATACGGCTAGTTTCTGAGGTCAAATTTGAACTCAAATCTTCTTGACTCCAGACCCAGTGCTCTATCCACTGTGTCACCTAGCTGCCCTGCTGATATCCTTCAAATTTCACCAAAAGCATTCGTTAAGCCAAGTGTCTGATAATCACATAGCTTGAAATGTGGGGGTGGAGACTTAAACTTCTAGGGTGGAGTCTTCTAACTTCAAATCTCACCCTCTTTCCATTGCCCCATACTGTTTCTCACTATACCATGCTGAACTTAGGATACTTACATGTCCTAATACTTTGATGTATTGACATTTTCTGGAGAGGTCTTGAGAATAAAATAAATATAGCCAGAATTTTTTTAACTGCTTATCATTCTTCCCTTCTACGGATACTAGCTAAGGTTCATATTTTAACAAACAATAGCACATACATTTGATTATTATTATGCAAATATTTAAGTATTACATACAAGGCATTTATGCGATGTGTATAGATGATGAAAATTGACCTAATACTTGTTCTCAAGGATTTTACATTCTAATATGGGATACAGTTTAAAAATAGTTGTAATATAGGTTCAAATATGATTTGTATAAATGATGGGTTAACATGTCATGAGAAATTTGAATAGAGAGCAGTCACTTCCAGATTGGAGGGGTGAGATGACCAAAGAATAATTTATGCAAGAGATAAGATCTGAGCTAAGGACTATTATAAATACTCAAATTAATTACAAAGGACAAACGAATGAAGACTCTATCTGCATCCAGAGAAACGACTGATAAATAGAAGTATGTATAGAATGACTGTACATATATATGTATATATATATACATATAATATATACATATACACACATATTTGTGTCTAATGGTAACCATCTGGGGGGGAGGAAAAAAAGAAATTTACATGATAACTTTATTATGTATTTTAAAAGAATAGCAAGTTGTACATAATAAGTTTGCAGTTTCATGTGGAATCATCTTTTTTTTTATTATACTATGTTATGGAAATTCTTGTTTTATTCCATAAATTAAAAATAAAATAAAATTTTAAAGACTTAAAGGAAGAGAAAGTGATAACTGAAGTGTAAGGAGTCAGTGTAAAGAGAGAGAGGGAAGAGAACCAAGAAGATGTCCTTGGGGGACACTGTACATAAAGCATAGAAGGAAGAGAAAACAATGAGAACACATTATGAAACTTAGGCGGTCAAGAGGAAGAAACTTTCAGCACCAAAGTGCTCTCCACCACTATTTCCAGCCCATGGAGCTGCCAGGATCATTCAACAACCTTTCCTCCTTTGAAGTTCCTGCCAACTGCTTCTCTCCAAGGTCATTTGTGACTACTTGCCAATGGCCTCTTTCTCAGCATTCATCCTTCTCGACCTTTTTTGCAGCACAGGGCCACTCCTTGATACTCCCTCATCCCTCCACTAAAGTGACCCTGCTTTCAGCTAGTTCTCCTACCTCTTTGTGAGATAGGGGGATAGATGTGATAGAATCTCAGATTTGGAAAAGACCTTAGAAACCATATAGGTTAGCCTATATCTAGGCAGAAATCTGCTGCTGAAACATCCCTGATGGTGGTCATTTGGCCTCTATATAATGACAAGGAGCTCAGTAACTGAAATGAGATCATGTACATAAAGCACTATGTAAAGTTTATTATTATTATTATTATTATTATTACCTTCTGAGGCAACCCATTCTACATTTGCACAACTCTTCTTATTGGATTTTTAATTATATTAAGCTGAAATTTGCCTTCCTGTGACTTCAAAGAATCACAGAACTTCATCTCCAAGTTGTAGGGGTACCTCAGTGATCATATTTTCCAACCCATTTATAAAAAGATTGCTTTCTATATCTATAATCCTTTCTCTCTTCTATCAATGACCCATAGTTTTATCATCTACAACCAAGTTTGGTTTTTTTTCAAAACTTCTAATCCCTTTTCAATGGGGCAGCCTTACAAATATTTGAAGGCAACTATTATGTTCCTCCTAAATCTTTGTTATTGTTGTTTTCTCTTTAGGCTTGCTATTGCCGGTTTCTCTATCATAGGTTCCCAGAGTAGGTGCTACCAATCCAGGGGGGCAGTAGTAGCCTCGGGTGCAATTGGGGTCATTGAATAAAAATAAGGAGGCAGTGGAAGCATAAGGCAAGAAGAAAAGATAAGAAAATTTTGAAAAACTGTTCCTACATGTTTTATGTATTGTATAAAGTCATAGTGGTTACATAATTTTCCAAATAAACACACAAAATGCAAGTTGTAACCTATCAGTGGTCAAGTCTCCCCACAGGTCTTAACAAGCAAGTGTTGGCAGGCAAGTGTGTGGTACATTATTGGAAAGTCCAGCATGCATTGGCAGGAATATGTGCGTGTAATAACTTGTTTACAATAAGATGCTATATGGTTATATAATACAACATTGCATCATCAAAATTTCAATTCAGGGGAAAACCCACAAATTTATAATAAGTTATTAAATTTAAGATGTGTCACTTTTTTAAAAATATATTTTATATTTTTTGGAAATGATGCAAATTTAAAAAAACTGTTAAAGGGTTAAAGAAAGTAGATTTTGGAGGAGGCTGAGTAATTTTCTTTAAGGGGAAAGAAAGCCAAATGAGTTTGGGAATCTCTGTTCTAAATGATCCTCTTCAGGTATGGTTTCCATTTCCTTCATCATCTTGGTTGTTTTCTTCAGAACATACTCCAGCTTACTAATGTCATCAACTTCCTTTCTAAAATGTGGTACCCCGAACTGGACACAATACTCTTGGTGTGACATGATTAGGGCAAAGTGTATCATGACTATCATCTACCTTGTTCTGGATGATAAGATTCTATAAATGCATCCCAAGATCCTGAGTGACCAGTACCAAAGGGAACCCAATATAAAGGAATTTCTTAAAAGTTCTTTTTTCCTTTAAAAATCAAACAGGTTCTGCAGAGCAAGTGGTTTACAGTTGCTTAATATGGATGTCTTGACAGCACTACATATGAGCAGGTGATACAATGGATAAAAGCTTGACCTGGAGTCAGGTAGACCTGAGATCTAATCCTGGCTCAGATACTTAATAGTTGTTTGACCTAGGGCAAGTTGCTTAACATTTTTCACCCTGAGTTTCCTCATCTGTAAAGTGCAGATAATAATAGAACCTATCTCCCAGGGTTGTTATGAGAATCAAATCAAGCAAGATTGCATATACATATATATAGCCATATATATTTATGTAAGCTATATAAATGTTAGCCAGTGTTATTTATGATCAATATCATAACTATGGTATTATGTTTACATAGGATAAAGCAGAATTGTATTATTGTTGTTTGTTCCTAAAATGAAAGAAAAAAAAATAAAAACACACTGATTGTGCAAACCCTTCCAGTTAAGAAAACACACTTGGTACTAGTGTGATATGACCTTTTTCATTCCACTGAATATACAGTAAACATATAACAAAGAGCACTTGTACATCTAAAGGATATAAGGAACGTGGCAAAGTAGTGTATTTTCACCTAGATTTTCTAAATGGTAGCAATTAAAATTCACAGCTGCTGGCTGTCCAGATGTTTCTTGCATTTAGAGTACTGTAATCTGCATGAGAATATATTGCATTACCACATTTGCTGTAAACTAGACAGCTCAGTATTCTAAATTCTGCATACAAACTCTAGTGAGTATATTTTATCCTCAGATTAGCTTTTCTTCCTCTCTCTCTCTCTCCCTCTCTTTTTCTCTCTCTCCGTTTTTTCTCTATGTGTCTATCCATATCTATCTCTCTGTGTCTGTCTTTTTCTGTGTCTGGCCCTGTGTTTGTCTGTATCTCTCTACCTCTGTGTCTTTCAGTCTGTGTCTCTCTTTGTGTCTGTTTGTCTTTGTCTGTGTGTGTGACTCTAAATGTCTGTCTCTCTGTGTGTCTGTCTATCCAAATGTTTATCTATCTCTGTGTCTGCCTGTCTTTCTGTCTGTTTGTCTCTCTCCCTCTCTCTCCCCTTCCCTCCCTCCCTCTCTCTCTCTCTCCTTCATTTGCTTGGGGCATTTGCAGTTCAAAAACAAAAGACATTTACTGCTTAGAGTTTAGCTGTATCAGGGTGTAAGTGCAGGTCAAGCTTGATTTATGTGACACTTCTGATAAGCCCTGGATGAGAGCAGGACACTGAGCTTGAGATGTCTGTGGAACTTGCATTGACTTATGTCTCCTTCTTTTCTAGGCGGCCAACATCCCTCTGGTGTCAGAGCTTGCCATAGATGACATACATTTTGATGACTTTTCCCTTGATGTTGATGCCATGATCACTGCTGCTCTGCGGATGTTCATGGAGCTGGGGATGGTGCAGAAATTTAAAATTGACTATGAGGTAAGTCACTCCTTTCCTTAGAGGACTTCCACCCACCCCCATCCCACCTACACTTCTCATTTGAGCCAAGCTGGGGCCAATGAGGCCATGGGCCATTGATCTGATGCAAATCTTTGCCTTCTCATTTCAGACACTATGTAGGTGGCTTCTGACAGTGAGAAAGAATTATCGAATGGTACTGTACCACAATTGGAGACATGCTTTCAATGTGTGCCAGCTGATGTTTGCGATGCTAACCGTGAGTGTATTCTGCTACAATGGAAACGCTTGTCTTTTCTATCTCAACCACCTAAATGCTTTCCCTTCATTATTTCTGTTCTCTACCACTTATTATGGTATATATTTCTCTTCATCAAAATCCACGTGCTCTAGGGCCTAGAATACATAGTTCTAGTACCAATATTCTAGCAACATTCCTCAAACTTTAGCAACTATGAGGTTACTGATACAATGGAAAGGACAAAATAACTAGGTTTTTATCTTAGAATAAATGTTTAAAAGCTTCTTGGTAAAATTTCATCCTGTAAAAATAGTTCTTTAAAAAAGGAACACAAGCTTCCAATGTACTCTTTCTATCTGTCTCTGTCTCTATCTGTTTCTATCTCTTTCTCTCTCTGTGTATCTCTTCTGTTTCTCTATCTAACTCAGATATGAAGATGGGGCATTGGACAGAGAAATAACTGGCCAAGGAACCTAAAGTTATACTAGGAAGGCTACAACATTTACTGTAGAGCACATTATTAATACAGAGAAATCCCGTTGAATTCTTATTTTTAAAGGTCGCAGAAGGTGGGAAGGGGAGCAGCCCACATTCTTGCCAGTTAAATGGAAGTCAGATGGGATCAGCTGTTGGGTCTGCTGTTCTGGAAAGCTCTGTCTGTGAGCCTACCATCATGGATATCTGTGTGACTTGTTGTTTTGTTTTGTTTTGTTTTTTGTTGGGGGGGGGCATTGCCCAACCCTAAACACAAATGACATCTGGCCAGTGATAACAGTTGTGATTTTGTATACTTGAAGTAAATGTTTTACTACAAGGACAGAAATAAACTCTTTTAATAGAATCCATTTGCTGGGAGGGGAAAACCCAAATGTTTATTTTGGCAAAGCCCACTTGAAGCAGAATATCAACAAGTAAAACATTTGTTAGTTGAAATAAATTGGCCTCTCTTTGGCCTACTGATATTTTGTAAGAGACCTTTTGATACTCTGAAAGAAAGGGCCCATAGGAATGACCTTTCTTAAAAATAAAAAGAAATAAAAAATTCTATCCATATAGCTTGATATCCAGATTGCACAATTAGGGAAGTAAAACTTTGGGAATACAAATAGAGATATTATTTTGTCTTTAGTGCAGATAAACAAAGGCTTTCCAAGACTTTTCACAGAGCCTGACCCATAGTAAGCAACTAATAAATGCAAGTAGACTTGTTACTCGGTCATTTAAGTCTTGTCCAACTCTTCATGACTTTTTTGGGGGGTTTTCTTGGCGAAGACAACTGGAGTGATGGATGCCGTTACCTTCTTTAGCTCATTTTACAGATGAGGAAATTGAGGTAAACAGGAGTAAGTGACTTGCCCAGGGTCACACAGTTAGTAAGGGTCTGAGACCACATTTGAACCCAGGAAGATGAGTTTCCTGACTTCAAGTCCAACACTGTATCCACTGTGCCACCTAACTACTTGTTTCAGCTAGTTGACTTACTGACACGCATATGAAGGAATCACATATGACCGAAAGAATATTAGCCCAGCTCACTTAGACTCATGAAAGTGCCTTGAAGGCAATACATAGTGGTGAATCCAAATCTTTGAGGTTCATGGAAGCAAATTAGACCAACAAATTGTATCTTTCAAGGTATTCAGTCATTTCCTGTACAGTGGTGTACATAGAGGCTTAATCTAAGTCAGGGTTTCTTAAACTTTTCTGAGTCTCAGACCCCTTTGGCAGTTTGGCCAAGCCTATGGACCCTTCTCAGGATAATATTTGTAAGAGAATAAAATGCTTAGGCCTACGAAGGAAACCAATTATATTGAAACATAGCTATCAAAATATTTTAAAATAAGTTCCTTAACCTCAAATTCAAAATGCCTGTAAAATAAGGTAGCATCTTTCATGGAAAAGGAAGAACCTCTGAGCCTGAAGGTTTAGTTACTCAAGTAGCAAAGTTGGTTGAATGAATAGCAGTCTTTGCCTTGGACTTTACTTTTACAAATTATAACTTGGTAGTATCAGGAAAAATTGTGTGTTTGGTGTGTTTGTATGTGTATGTGTTCAGATACTATGTCACACTTTTTTTGAATCCTTCTCAGCACCTGGGATGTATTAACATGTATTCAATAAATTATTTTTATTTTTATTTTGGAGGTCCCAATGATCTTATAGAATCACCAGAGTCTGTGGGCATGAAGTATTTTGTCTATCAAAGGAGAAAGGAAAGACAATAATATAATGAATCAATGATAGGAACAATCAAAATAGACCTCATAAGACCATTCTAGAAAAAAAAAAGGAAGGAAAGATTTTTTTAAGAAAAATAAAAAATACATTTCTTTCCAGTATTAATTATCATAACTTTCCAATTCAGCACAAAAACATTTATGAAGTGGCCACTATGTGTACTGTTCTAGGCACACTGGGAATACAAGGACAAAATGAAAAATAGTCCTTGCTTTACCCAGCTTAAATTCTACTGGGGAGATGGAACTTGGTACTCTTCAAGAACTGGAGGGAGGTATTAAAGAAACAAAGTAGTCCTTATTCCTTCAGAAGATTTCATATCTACCATCCTTAATGTAAATCCACTGCAAATGTAAAACACCCTTGACCAAATCACTGTTGAAGAAGGTTTTCATACTGGTTCACCCAGAGTCAGAGGCTAGCTCTCCACACGTCCATTGTGTAAGAATGGAAAAGAAAAGACAACTCTGGGCAGAATACCTCATAAAACATCATCATACAATCTTTCAGAATACACTTAAACTAAAGAGCCAACTGTAGAATAGGCATGGTCTCCTACACATCAAATATTTGTGCTGCTCTTTACTGCATGATTGTCCCTCTGAGACATACCTTTACAGAGGGTGGGAGGGAAGGAGAGGGAGGTCCCTGCCAACTCAAAGAACCTGTAATTGTCTTTTGTTGATCACACACACACACACACACACACACACACACACACGTAACTCCCTCCCCCATTACAGTGCTGGGTTTGTGGAAGAGCCCTGATCTAGAACCCCCTTCTCCTGGCCTACACAGTCTTAGAGATATTCTCCAGAGAGATTTTCCAGATGGGGAACCTGCAGGCTCAAGGCCACATGTGGCCCTCTAGGTCCTCAAGTGCGGCCCTTTGACTGAATCCAGACTTCACAGAACAAATCCTCTTAATAAAAGGATTTGTTCTCTAAAACTTGGACTCAGTCAAAGACTGCTCCCAAGGGCCACATGTAGCCTCAAGGTCACAGGTTCCCCACCCCTTTAACCATAGGGGCGTATCATTAATAAATCCATCTGTTTTCCCCTAACCTTTTTCTGGGCTAAAATTAGCACAAGAAGTCTCTTCCTCTGATCTGAAGGAGCCCAGAATGAGTTTGGTGGCCAGGCCAATAGCCCCGTACCAGGCAGTACTGGTTGGGTGTGTATGGCGCTGGCGGTGGGGGGGAAGGCATTGTTGGAGTGGAGGAGATTGGAATGTATTTCACAAACACACACACACACACACACACACACACACACAGACACACACACACACACACCCCTCACTTGGCAAGGTAGAAAGCATGGTCTGCAGCAAATGAATCTCCAATGAGCAAGAAGCTTCTGACTAGGTAGCAATTATGTGACTTGCCAGTGCGGGTGCTGGTGAAGTGCGTGGGTAGCCCATAGGGAGAGCAGAGCACTCCCATGCTTCATATGGAAGTAAAAGAGGCTGCCTGAACTGGGGAAATAATAAAGAATTGAACACAAATTAAAAAGAATTGAACTCACACTGATGACCTTATTTCTGAAATAGAGGCCCTAATACCAAATCCTTTCCCTATAGCAACCCTGTAGTGGCTTTCCCAGCACTGTGAAATGATCCTCCCATTTTCCTTCTCCTGAGCTGTCCCCATCCGCCCTTCCCAAGTGTTATGATGGGTTTGGAATGGAATTCTCCAGCAGGCTGAAAAATGGCACAATAGAAACACGTGGCATAACTCTCTAGCTGGGGACTATGCCTTTGTGAGCTGCTTTTTCCTCTAGGTGGCACTCCAAGGCTAAATTTCTCTTTTAGCTGCCTTGAAAAGTAGAAGCATTAAACCTTCTTTTCGTCTAGGGCGGATGATAAAGAGGAAGGGTTAGACTGGGGGTGGGGAAGGGAGGAGGGAAGATTTATTTTTAAAGGGAATACCATCAAAGCCAGTCTGCCTAAAAATCAACCCTTCTCATCAAGAGTGGGTCCATTTTATGTCAGAAGTGGATACATTTTCACATACTCCTTTGCTGCAGTTAGCATGAATTGTCTGGCCTTTTTAATGTGGTAGCTCTGGTTGTAGCATTTTTTCTTCTAAAATCCCATTGTTTCTGGGAATGGGAAAATGTGTAAAGGTGATGACTTTGGTATATTTGCATTAGTATTTGGGCACAGTTGAGTCTGCTACACAGGCAAAGCCTATATAGGGTTCCACTTCCATATTTGCATTAGTATAATTTGTAGAGTGGGCTCTGCAACACAAGCGAAGTCGACATGAGGGGTTCACTTCCTTACCTGCACTCTCTGGGGTTATTCAAAACACAGAGATAGTAAACATTATTGCTGAATCAGAATTGTGTTCTCCAAAGTACTCAAGCTGATACCCCAGACCCATGGACCTTATGCAGAAAGCAGAAGCAATATACATTCCTCTGGAAATAAAAACTCCATTATAGGATAAGCAATTTCATGTAAAATGGTAGGAATCTGGCCTGCCAATGACCCAGGTAATGACTAAATAAGTCACTCCATCCTTCTCTGCCTGAATTTTCAGATCTGTAAGGCAGAGGTTATAATATCTGTCCTTTGCTTTCAATGGACATTTAGGGGGATTCAAATTTGCTAAGTGCATAAAGAAAAGCATTATAGAGTATGAGTTTTCACATTGCAAAAAAACCTGAAGTCCAGGGGTATTTGTTTTGATTTTCTTAATTTTCGGAAGAAATTGAAAGTGGCTATATTGTTTGTTTTTATCAAATAAAATAGTATTAAGAGCAGCTAAATATGC